GGGGCTTCAGACTGGGCTAATATGAACTGTCTGGTGTAGTGATGTGTGATAGAACAATGGACACCAGTCAGAGGATCTCTGTCACTTACCACCCCAGTGTTATTATTCACCACAGATGTGAACAGGCCCTAAAATTAACACCCACCACCTGCCAAATGCGGGTAGATTTTGACATTAGTGGGTAAGATGTCTGTTTCACTAGCCACGTTGGCGGGTGGTCAGGGCTCCACAGTGTGAGCATTTCACTTGCATTTGTGAATAAAAAATATTCGCTTATGAACACATTTATAGTCATTTATGCTGCAGTAGCTGTTTTCAAAGCATTTCTGCCGTTTCTGTTTCGTTGCTGGTCAATTCAAAGTCTAAACTATGAATCCTAGATAGCCTATCACACCTCGCCAAGGCAGCAGCTACTCTTCCTGGGGTCCAGCTAAATTAAGGCAGACACAAATTTTAAAACATTACAATACATTCACAACAGATTTCACAACTCATTGTGTGCCCTCAGGCCCCTACTCTATCTACTACCACATATCTACAACACAAAATCCATGTGTACGTGTGTGTATAGTGCATATGTTATTGTGTGTGTATGCATGTCTGTGCCTATGTTTGTTGCTTCACATTCCCCACTGTTCCATAAGGTGTATTTATCTGTTTTTTAAATCTAATTTTACTGCTTGCATGAGTTACTTGATGTGGAATAGAGTTCCATGTAGTACTGTGCGACTCCCATAGTCTGTTCTGGACTTGGGGACTGTGAAGAGACCTCTGGTGGCATGTGTTGTAGGGTATGCATGGGTGTCCAAGCTGTGTAGTTCAAACAGACAGCTTGGTGCATCCAACATGTCAATACCTCTCACAAATACAAGTAGTTATTAAGTAAATCTCTCATCGACTTTGAGCCAGGAGAAATTGACATGCATATTATTAGGGTCGATGACGTATAAGGATTTCAAATGTGAAAAAATTAGAAAAGGGATTTATTAAACAATTTGAAACACTTTTTATGTTCCCTTGTGTGTTACCTATGCACTTTCAGGGTATGTCGCTAAATAACGTTAAATTGTTTTTTTTAAAATGTGATTGTTAAATTGACCTCCTAAAAAAAGCAAGGAAGAGTAAAATATGAATATATACATGGTCTCAAATATTCAACATTTAAAGAAGTTATAAGTTGGAGTATAATACACTGATCAAAAAAATTAAGGGAACACTTAAACAACACAATATAACTCCAAGTCAATCACACTTCTGTGAAATCAAACTGTCCACTTAGGAAGCAACACTGATTGACAATACATTTCACATGCTGTTGTGCAAATGGAATAGACAACAGGTGGAAATTATAGGCAAGTAGCAAGACACCCCCAATAAAGGACTGGTTTTGCAGGTGGTGACCACAGACCACTTCTCAGTTCCTATGCTTCCTGGCTGATGTTTTGGTCTCTTTTGAATGCTGGCGGTGCTTTCACTCTAGTGGTAGCATGAGACGGAGTCTACAACCCACACAAGTGGCTCAGGTAGTGCAGCTCATCCAGGATGGCACATCAATGCGAGCTGTGGCAAGAAGGTTTGCTGTGTCTGTCAGCGTAGTGTCCAGAGCATGGAGGCGCTACCAGGAGACAGGCCAGTACATCAGGAGACGTAGAGGAGGCCGTAGGAGGGCAACAACCCAGCAGCAGGACTGCTACCTCCGCCTTTGTGCAAGGAGGAGCAGGAGGAGCACTGCCAGAGCCCTGCAAAATGACCTCCAGCAGGCCACAAATGTGCATGTGTCTGCTCAAACGGTCAGAAACAGACTCCATGAGGGTGGTATGAGGGCCCGACGTCCACAGGTGGGGGTTGTGCTTACAGCCCAACACCGTGCAGGACGTTTGGCATTTTCCAGAGAACACCAAGATTGGCAAATTCGCCACTGGCGCCCTGTGCTCTTCACAGATGAAAGCAGGTTCACACTGAGCACATGTGACAGACGTGACAGAGTCTGGAGACGCCGTGGAGAATGTTCTGCTGCCTGCAACATCCTCCAGCATGACCGGTTTGGCGGTGGGTCAGTCATGGTGTGGGGTGGCATTTCTTTGGGGGGCCGCACAGCCCTCCATGTGCTCGCCAGAGGTAGCCTGACTGCCATATAGGTACCGAGATGAGATCCTCAGACCCCTTGTGAGACCATATGCTGGTGCGGTTGGCCCTGGGTTCCTCCTAATGCAAGACAATGCTAGACCTCATGTGGCTGGAGTGTGTCAGCAGTTCCTGCAAGAGGAAGGCATTGATGCTATGGACTGGCCCGCCCGTTCCCCAGACCTGAATCCAATTGAGCACATCTGGGACATCATGTCTCGCTCCATCCACCAACGCCACGTTGCACCACAGACTGTCCAGGAGTTGGCGGATGCTTTAGTCCAGGTCTGGGAGGAGATCCCTCAGGAGACCATCCGCCACCTCATCAGGAGCATGCCCAGGCGTTGTAGGGAGGTCATACAGGCACGTGGAGGCCACACACACTACTGAGTCTCATTTTGACTTGTTTTAAGGACATTACATCAAAGTTGGATCAGCCTGTAGTGTGGTTTTCCACTTTAATTTTGAGGGTGACTCCAAATCCAGACCTCCATGGGTTGATAAATTTGATTTCCATTGATAATTTTTGTGTGATTTTTGTTGTCAGCACATTCAACTATGTAAAGAAAAAATTATTTAATAAGATTATTTCATTCATTCAGATCTAGGATGTGTTATTTTAGTGTTCCCTTAATTTTTTTGAGCAGTGTATATCTTTTGTTTTTCACTGGACGATCCCTCATTTTGAGTGACTGTCAACTACAACTTCTGTTAAATAAATGAAAACCATTTTTTCTCTTAGACTGAGCTTCTCTCTGCATTTTTGAGACGACAATAAAATATATATATTTTTTACATTAAAAACTCTGGTCGTACCAAATGAATGGCGCCGGAGAAGAGGGCTGCCGTTTTACAGCTCTCTAACCAATTGTACAATTATGTGTGTATTTTCGTCTTATTTGTAATTTATTCTGTACATAATTTTTCTGCCACTGTCTCTTATGATCAAAAATACCTTCTGGATATCAGGACAGCGATTACTCATCTCGTAATGGATGAAGATTTTTTCTTCAACGAGTCGGATGCAAAGGATATTCTACAGACACCCGACAAGGCCCAAATCCCCATCATTCGCATGAGAAAGAGACAGAGATACCGTGGACGTAGGTCGGGGTGCCTTGTAAGGATCCGACGGCGAGCGAATAATCTGCCTCTTCCATCAATCCTACAGGCCAACGTTCAATCATTTGAAACTAAATTAGACAACCTAAGATCAAGGTTATCCTACCAACTGGACATTAAAAACTGTAATATCTTATGTTTCACCGAGTCGTGGCTGAATGATAACATGGACAACATGCAGTTGGCGGGATATACGCTAGATCGGCAGGATAGAACAGCTGACTCTGGTAAGACAACGGGTGGCGGTCTGTGTATATTTGTAAACAACAGCTGGTGCATAAAATCTAATACTAAGGAAGTCTCGAGGTTTTGCTCGCCTGAGGTAGAGTATCTCATGATAAGCTCTAGACCAAACTATTTACCATATTTTTCGTAGCTGTCTATTTACCACCACAAACCGATGCTGGCACTAAGATTGCACTCAATGAGCTGTATAAGGCCATAAGTAAACAGGAAAATGCTCATCCAGAGGCAGCGCTCCTGGTGGCAGGGGACTTTAATGCAGGGAAACTTAAATCCGTTCTACCTAATTTCTACCAGCATGTTAAATGTGCAACCAGAGGAAAAAAAACTCTCGACCACCTTTACTCCACACACAGAGACACGTACAAAGCTCTCCCTCGTCTTCCATTTGGCAAATCTGACCATAACTATATCCTCCTGAATCTGCTTATAAGCAAGAACTAAAGCAGGAAGCACCAGTGACTCGGTTAATGAGGAAGTGGTCAGATGACGCAGATGCTAAGCTACAGGACTGTTTTGCTAGCACAGACTGGAATATGTTCCGGGATTCTTCTGGTAGCATTGAGGAGTACACCACATCAGTCACTGGCTTCATCAATAAGTGCATCGATGACGTCGTCCCCACAGTGACCGTACGTACATACCCCAACCAGAAGCCATGGAATACAGGCAACATCCGCACTGAGCTAAAGAGTAGAGCTGCCGCTTTCAAGGAGCGGGACTCTAACTCAGACTCTTAACCTCTTCATCACTAGGCACCTGGCTAAAGTGCCTGCCTCGAAAATGCATGCCCAAATTGAATAGAGTATATCTCCAAAACAACAAGGGCTATAAACATAATCTTGGTAGCAAAAGAAAGGTAACACGTGAGATGTATCTTGAAGTGAAATAATTAATGTGGGTCTTACGGTGTACATGATGCTAGAACACAGCATAAATTGGGAGGTTTTGATTCCGCCTGAAAGTAACTTCAGGCTTTATAGGGAATGCTTTATTGGACTTATGCAGCTGCAGCCCCTAAACACTATGTGACCATAGCCCAATATCTGATGAGTACTTATGTGTAGTTTGATGCCAATAAAGTAAAGTAAACCAAAGTTGTAGGGGTTTTAGTTGAATTATGTTTAGGCGGAATACCAAATGGAGACATTTGGGTAGATTTGGGCACCATCAGTGCCATTTGACTTTTATCAGGTACCAGACAGCAAAAGTCATTTAATTTCACTAACATATCACTATATGTGTACATTCCATCAAAATACAACTGTTTTGATGTTTCAAATGTTCTCCCAGACCTCTATACGTGTTCCCATTAAAATAAACCATACAATGGGAAAGTTTGACTCCAAACTGAGCAGATTTATTAGAAACTATAAAAAACAAATTTAAAAACAAAATGTCCACACATCCCAAAACTATAAACAATGATATGGTGTCCTTGGGTGGGTTGTCACACAAAATGTAGACCCTTTTTACCCTAAAACTTGCTGTCGTGCCAATCCTTGAAACAGTTACGCTTTGATGTAAGGCACAAAGGGACTTGGCACTTCCTGCAGTACACAGGTGTTTTCACTTTGGGGACGCCAACATCCAGACATCTCCTTCAGTTCTTCCTGTCTTTGCTGGCATCATCACTATAGTATTCTGGCATGCAGGATGTTGGTGGTGGTCATGGAGGTTGTGCTTCAGACTGTTTAGCAAAGCTCACCATTTCTGTGAGTAGCTTTTCCCTGAACAACTTCTGTGTGTACAGCTTAGTGGGGTTGTACTTATGGAGTTCTTTGTGAAGTAGGAAACTATTTACAACAGCAATATCAACAAAATGAAAAAGAAAAGTCTTATACCATTTCATTGTCTTGTGGTGAACACTGTAGTATCCAATCAATGCGTCGACTAAATCCACTCCACCCATGCTCCGGTTGTAGTCTGCTACCGCATCTGGGACGGGCACAGTTTTAGTCTGCCATACACCACCCTCTTTTACTTACTTTCCTTTTGACAGTTTGTCCACTAAATGCTTAATGTACAGTGGAGCACATGGTTACCTCACGTGTGTCTATCCATTTTACAAATAATACATTTCCTTTGCGTATCCACCGCAAATCTCCCCTTTCTGCTTTTTTTGGCAGGTTGTTCCTTTTGGTTTGTGGGAAACCAATCCTGTTCGTTCTAATTGTCCCACAGGCACCAGTGTTTCTTCTACGTAGTTCCTCAAAAAGGGCAGGGCTAGAATATAAATTGTCTACAAAAAGTGTATAGCCCCCACCAAGTAAAGGGAATGGCATCAAGTCCATAACTGAAGTGTAGCTTAGTCCCTGGCCTGGTGTGAACACACTTGCCTTCATAAACAAAAACATTCCATGTATAAGTAGTATGAGAGTCAGCCAGTACAAATAATTTATACCCCCACTTAGTTGGCTTTGCTTTCATATATTGCTGTCGCCTTGGATGCCGCCATCCTTTCGTCTATGGAGATGGTATGGCTGGAAATGTGATTTGCAGGCATTGGTAAGTTCAGTGTACAGGGGCTTGATCTTGAAAAGTATAGCATATTCTGCAGTGCCTTTTTTAGTGTTGTTGGCTTCGTCGTCTTCTGGTTTGCTCAAGTGCAGTGACCACATGATTGCTTCAAAACGGTCTCGTGTCATAGTGTCTCCAGGGAAGCGGAAATTAAATGGCCATTCCTTCCTCCAGTAGGTGCCCCTCTCGTGTACAGAGACAAGCCCTGAGTATAGCAGAATTGCCAGGAAAATTTTAAAATCTCTCATCGTTAGTGGTATCCAATTTCAGTCCGGACTGCAGTCTTTTGGCAGCATTTGCATTAGTGTTGCAAATTATTGTGTGGACAACCGAAGTGCTAAAAAACTGTTGAAAGAGTAAAAGGGGAGACCATGACACAGTGGTGTCGATTGTGGGGCCTGGGACTCTGGTGGGCATAAACCGGATTGGGTCTGGTCGTTCATCATTCTCTTCTCTATTATGCCACCTATCTTCTTCTTCCTCCCCGACTCTTGGAGTGGCAGGCCTACCTCCACCACGCTTACTTGGATGCACTGACTTTGAGAAAGCTTTCCCTTTTCTTTTGGGTTGAGGGCTCTTTACAGGGGACTCAGTGTCCGATGAAGACTGTGGCCGAGGGTGGGGAGCAAAAGTCTGTTGTCTAGACATGCGGCCAGGCTGAGGAAGAGGAGGCTCTGCATGAGGAAGGGGCAGCTGTGGCTGAGGAGGCAGATGCTCTGGCTGTGGCTCATCACCCCTATAATCATCTTCACTGTGCAAACAAGACAAAAGAGAAAAGAAAATCATGACTAAAACACACTTGTCAGATATATATATAATAAATAGTTAGAACTATGAGAATGTTGACTAAAGTGATAATTCAGTGACAAGAAATAATACACATAGCGTTCTATTGTAAGTAAACTTGCGTGTGGGCCTCTAAGCTAAGCTAGCGCTAACTTACGTTGAGCTTCAGTTACTCAAATAGATATTTTAGAATGTATGTTTTGTACTCATACAATGTAGTAGTAGTATTAGAAGTAATAAATAACAATGGGATTACATACTCTTCTGATGCTTGAGTAGGGCCCTGGACACGATAACCTTTGTTCTCGTCGTTGGGGTCTGGTTCGTCCGGTCTAAGCAGGTCCTCATCGTCCGATTCAGAGTCAATGGGGATACATGGAGTCCAACTTTAATCTGTTACAATTAATAACGCCTCTGTAACTGTATATTTGTTACTAGAGCCTGCCATATTTTTATAAACTTTGCGTTTTCCCTCCGAAATGCAAGTGCTGTTGTGCGCTCTGCGTAACCGTGCGTAATGCAGCAAGACAATTGGATATTTCAACAATCTTGTTGGTCGATTTTTATATGTGACCCCTCTATCGAAAGTTCTGGATCAGTATAATTAAATTAGCACAATTGCAAGCCACTGGGATTGCATCACATATCCAGAAGATGGCGACAAAACAGTGCCTGTTGTGATTGAAACGAACTACTGACTTCATCTTCAAACACATTGTTGGCCATGTAAAACGATGTAAACTCATTGAAATCGACTCGGAATGAGAGAGAGACACTAAAGTATCTTTTCAAGTGGTTTTATTCGATCAGACACTACTTTTGGTAACAAAAACAACAAAGGTAAAACGCAGTTTGTTGTTGTGATAAGAAAAATTGAAGTTTGTTATTGATGTTCTTTGATTAATAGTTTAGTGAGTGTTGGTCATAGAGGGACACGGCTATCACTGTTGGAATCTGTGAGGTAGCAGCTTTCGAATGGTGTATCATTTGTCTACATGGGTTGAGAAAAATAAGTTATCTGTCTACGAATATACAGGCATGCACGGTTTCAAAATACAGTACTGGTTTTGCTATATGCTTACAGTGAGGGAAAAAAGAATTTGATCCCCTGCTGATTTTGTACGTTTGCCCACTGACAGAAATGATCAGTCTATAATTTTAATGGTAGGTTTATTTGAACAGTGAGAGACATAAGTATTTGACCCCTCTGCAAAACATGACTTAGTACCCGGTGGCAAAACCCTTGTTGGCAATCACAGAGGTCAGACGTTTCTTGTAGTTGGCCACCAGGTTTGCACACATCTTAGGAGGGATTTTGTTCCACTCCTCTTTGCAGATCTTCTCCAAGTCATTAAGGTTTCGAGGCTGACGTTTGGCAACTCGAACCTTCAGCTCCCTCCACAGATGTGCTTCTTCTTGAGCCACTCCTTTGTTGCCTTGGCCGTGAGTTTTGGGTCATTGTCATGCTCGAATACCCATCCACGACCCATTTTCAATGCCCTGGCTGAGGGAAGGAGGTTCTCACCCAAGATTTGACGGTACATGGCCCTGTCCATCGTCCCTTTGATGCGGTGAAGTTGTCCTGTCTCCTTAGCAGAAAAACACCCCCAAAACAATGTTTCCACCTCCATGTTTGACGGTGGGGATGGTGTTCTTGGGGTCATAGGCAGCATTCCTCCTCCTCCAAACACGGCGAGTTGAGTTGATGCCAAAGAGCTCCATTTTGGTCTCATCTGACCACAACACTTTCACCCAGTTCTCCTTTGAATCATTCAGATGTTCATTGGCAAACTTCAGACGGCCCTGTATATGTGCTTTCTTGAGCAGGGGGACCTTGCGGGCGCTGCAGGATTTCAGTCCTTCACGGCGTAGTGTGTTACCAATTGTTTTCTTGGTGACTGGTCCCAGCTGCCTTGAGATCATTGACAAGATCCTCCCGTGTAGTTCTGGGCTGATTCCTCACCGTGCTCATGATCATTGCAACTCCACGAGGTGAGATCTTGCATGGAGCCCCAGGCCGAGGGAGATTGACAGGTCTTTTGTGTTTCTTCCATTTGCGAATAATCGCACCAACTGTTGTCACCTTCTCACCAAACTGCTTGGCGATGGTCTTGTAGCCCATTCCAGCCTTGTGTAGGTCTACAATCTTGTCCCTGACATCCTTGGAGAGCTCTTTGGTCTTGGCCATGGTGGAGAGTTTGGAATCTGATTGATTGATTGCTTCTGTGGACAGGTGTCTTTTATACAGGTAACAAGCTGAGATTAGGAGCACTCCCTTTAAGAGTGTGCTCCTAATCTCAGCTCGTTACCTGTATAAAAGACACCTGGGAGCCAGAAATCTTTCTGATTGAGAGGGGGTCAAATACTTATTTTCCTCATTAAAATGCTAATCAATTTATAACATTTTTGACATGCGTTTTTCTGGATTTTTTGTTGTTATTCTGTCTTACTGTTCAAATAAACCTACCATTTAAAATTATAGACTGATCATTTCTTTGTCTGTGGGCAAACGTACAAAATCAGCAGGGGATCAAATACTTTTTTCCCTCACTGTTTTAGTCGAGCAGTAACAAATATATATACATATCTCGTCGTCCAAAACAGCCTAACGACCAAACAATCGACCAGTTGACTAATAAGGGTCAGTCCTACCTCCCACCTATCTGTTTTGTGTCTAAGGTAGCCCGCAAAAGCCAGCATGGAGAGAACGCAAGAATTGACAAATATTTTCCATATTCTAATCATTCTCATGTCCCAATGTATCGCCACGATCCATGTCATGGTGAGACTTGCGCTCCTGTAGATCTGATATAATTGGATGGTGAAACATGCATCCAGCCAACCAGAAAAGCAAGGGGATGCAATTCAGGCATTCTTGAAAGTCAAGACAATCCTTGTCCTGCAAAGACATATCATTTATATAGTTTAAACATTTATTTTGCAAGCAGAAGGCATTTAAAATACAATTTGGAGTGGAGCTTTAGTTACATGATGAAATCACGTGCACCGCGTACCTTCAAAATTATTCGGCAATCATCATTTGTGACCCATTTCAGGAAGCTAGGCGTATGTTGCACATCACTACTTCACAGGAGAGGCATTTGAACGTAATTTTGCGTTTTGGGGCAGAAATGCCTTCTGGAACGTGAACTTTCATGTGCCTTCAATAACAAACAAACACAATTGTTAAATTACAAGCCTAGTTAGTTTAGCCACAGAAAAAGGCAGGAACCTTCCCGCTAGACATGATTGGCTGATATAATGGATGGGCTGGACATGGCGAGAGATGAGTTCGGATTGGTCTGCCTTGTAGCGCGCTTCTATCTAAAACATGAGCTGCTCAGTATGTTTAGATAATCCTTGCTATAGTGGCTTTTTTGAAATATATAACGTTAGCCATGGAGAACTGCAAACGTTTTTTTACTGCTCTTAACAACATTGCTGCCCTGAATTTAGCAGGCGTTATCGACAAAGATCAGTGGAATGGACTACTTTCTGCACACGGTCAGTGTGAACCAGAGTGACTTGACACAACGGGCCAAACAAGCTTTAGCTAACTACAAACAAAACGGGAAAGAAACAGGAGGTCTTACTTATTTAAAGTGGTTCCAGCCTGCCGTGAAGCGTTCATCAATGTATATGGGTAAGAGTCTAGCTACAATTTCAGATGTTATACATTTCAAATTTTGTCAGTAATTTTCATTGCAAGTTAAAGCGTACTGTTAGCTAGCTAGCGAACATTACCTTTCTGTCTCGCTAGCTAATGTTACGTGTATGAGCTGTGTAGTAATATTATTTGTATCTCAGAAAGTTATTTGCATTGCTAGTTATATCCTAATGTTAGCTAGCTAGTAAACATTTAACCAAGTTGGTTAGCTTTAGCTACCTGCAGATTCATTTTACAGTATTTTATGCATAGTGGCTAGCTATGACAATCCGTTTGTACTGTAGCTATGGGTTGGGATTATGGTTCATTGTTTAGCTAACTAGTTAGCTAGCTACATGTCTAAACAAAAGACTCCACTCTTCCAGATGATTACATGACCCATCAAGTTACCCAGATGTGTCTGGGGGTGATTATGGCCATCTATTGTATTTCATGTACATGTGTACATGTTTAGACAATAGTGACCCATCCACTTAGCTAGTTGTGGCTGGCGGGTGGTTATAGCATTTCTTTCACATGACCCATCAATTTAGACAAGTGTGTCTGGGTAAACATAATCTAATAATTATAAAATATTTATACAATATATTTATCTGGACACTTTCTATTTTTTGCTATTGCTACTATGCAAATATGCAAGTAACCATTTCACTGTACTGTTTACACCTTCTGTATCCTGTGCATGTGACAAATGCACTTTGATTTTATTTGATATAGCGTGTGTTTAAACAGAGACGGTAATGTGAAGAACAACATGACCTTCACCAAAGTCAGATTAGGATATAGGCCAAGGACTAGATAAAGTGTATTTTTACCTGGAGTTTTTCCTTATTGTAGGCTACTACTTTCATCACTTTTAGTCTTGAAATCTTTGGTTCTTTACTACACTACCTTACTCACTGTCTTTAGCACATGGCCTCATGTAAATCCTTAGAGATGGGTGGGGCTAAGGCTTAAGAGGGTGTGAACGATGCTGAATAGGTGTACACAAAGAGCTCTCCAGTAGGTGTACCAAAACAACATTCAAGTGACATTTTCTGAAAAGTGGGGTTTATCAACTTTCAAAGCAGAATTACTCTCCCATTGTTACTCAACTGCAGTGTATGATATACCATTTTGTAGCTCTGAGTCTCTACTTTTATCCAATGAAAAAAAAAAATATATATAATTTTGCTACCTAAGACATGAATTGAGGTGGTTGGTCACATTTGAAAAACACTGTTTCCATCATTATTTGTTGCAATAAAAAAAATGCGACAAAATAAAAATCCACCGCTGTCCACAAATAAAAATGTTTGATCTTTAGGTCATTTCTCCTATAGCTGCTGTTTCCAATACATGTCGCAATGTTTTTCCTTGCGACGTTGCTTTTGACGCTTAAACCTTGGTCAATGGAAACCTGCCTACTGGCTGTTTAGATGAGGAGCCCTTAGGGACAGAGGGTCTATTCTGGGCCTCTCTGCTCTGCTGTGTTCTGGATGTTTCCCCCCCTACGGTCACACAGTCTCTATGTCTGCCGCATAAACATAAAACACTAGCGCCATACAAGAGAAACAGAGAGGGAGACTGAACGGATAGAGCGAGTGAGTGAGGGGAGAGAAAGAGAGAGGGAGGCACAGATTATAAGAGTGAGCTGGAGAGGGAAAGAGACCTTGAAGGAGACGGCGAGAGGGACTGACAA